TGGAGAGAAAGAGGGAGGGAAGGATGGATGGAGAGAAAGAGGGAGGGAAGGATGGATGGAGAGAAAGAGGGAAGAAAGGTTGGTTAAGCAACGTGTGGCGGGTACAGCTAGTCTATATAAAAATGTTCTGTTAGTTTGTGGGATTAACATAACTCAAAAACCACTGGGTGAATTGACACCAAATTTGGACACAAGACACCGATCAGGCCAAGGAGTGACCATCACTCATAAAAACACCGAAAAATACAGCAGAAATGACTTAAAAAGCCAAAAAAAATGCTACAGCGCATGCGCAAAAACGACTCCCCCTGGAAAACACCCACAACGCACGAACAGAATGTTTTGCCTTTATTTTCTTTGCTTTGTTACAGTGCTAGTAGATGGTTTTCTTGTACACGGAGCAGCGAATCCACCTTAGACTTTATCCTAAGCTTGACATCTGTTTAGGGAGGAAAGGATTCCACTCTGGTCGGGATGGAAATTGTTGTGAGGGCAGCGACATATGATTTGAGCAATTTCCTTTCCCTTTGTGAGAAAGTCTTCGAACACTATTCACAATCAGGACCGGCTCTGCATACTTTGCATTTGGATTGTTGTGGGAGTGGGTTTGCTTTTTTATTTACTTATTTTATTTTTTGCACAGACAACAGTATTGGATTCCCACAAATACAATTTTTGGGTAGCTGTGTGTTTTCTGGGCTGTATGGCCATGTTCCAGTAGCATTCCCTCCTGACGTTTCGCCTGCATCTGTGGCAAGCATCCTCAGAGGTTTGTTCAGAGGTCTGTTGGAAATGAGGCAAGTGGAGTATGTGTGTGTATGTATGTATGTGTGTGTGTGTGTGTGTATATATATCATATATGTATGTATATGTGTGTGTGTGTGTGTGTGTATCTATATGTTACTTGCAATTGATTACCTTGATTAGCATTGAGTCACCTTGCAGCGGCAAAATAATTATTTTGTTGCAGAAATAAAGCGCCACACTCAGAAAACGGGAACTCCAGACAGGAAACCATGAGGGCCAGCTAACACCTCCCAACAAAGGATTCCCCAGGCAGCAATCATGCAGTCTTTGAAGCTGCAAGGCCATTACATACTAAATCATCAGTGCCGGCTAACAACTCCCAACAAAGGATTCCCCCCCAGGCAGCAACCAGCCAGTCTTTGAAGTTGCAAGGCCATTAAATGCTAATCAAGGAGGCCAATTGCAACATTCTCACTTGCCTCAAGCAGACAAGCGTTCTTTCTCCCACCCTGGACATCATCCCTTGCAGCTGCAAAATAATTATTTTGGTGCAGAAATAAATAGCGACACTCAGAAAACAGAGGAACTCCAGACAGGAAACCATCAGGACCAGCTAACACCTCCCAACAAAGGATTGCCCCCCCAGGCAGCAACCAGCCAGTCTTTGAAGCTGCAAGGCCATTAAATGCTAAATCATCAGCACCGGCTAACACCTCCCAACAAAGGATTCCCCCAGGCAGCAACCAGCCAGTCTTTGAAGCTGCAAGGCCATTAAATGCTAATTAAGGTGGCCAATTCCAACATTCACACTTGCCTCAAGCAGACAGTTCTTTCTTCCACCCTGGACATTCTTCTACAGGTATACAAACCTCACTTGCCTAGTTTCCAACAGACCACACAATCTCGGAGGATGCCTGCCATAGATGTGGGTGAAATGTCAGGAGAGAATGCTTTAGAACATTGCCAGACAGCCTGGAAAACTCACTTAGCAGAGTGTTGTTTCCCAAGTCATTGAGATGGATTCTTTCATAGAATTCCCTCTAATGCCTGATTCTATGGGCGATAGTTTCTGTGTATCCGCCATATACTCTTTCACCAGGGCACAATCTTTCCTTCCCAGTCCACGAGGCGTCCGTTTTGCTCCTCGGAGAGGTGGGAGAGCACACGCAGGATCCCAGCCACACTCTCCTCCACTTCCAGAGCAGCCTGCGAGGCAAACAAAGCACAGCCTGGCATTACAAAACAAGAAGGATCTGCTGCAAGGAGAGGGGATCTGCTACAGATCTACTATTTATATTCATTTTGTCTCTCCTATCTGTCTGTCTAATATCTATTATCATCTTCTCTTTCCCCTATTTACTACATATCTACTGTCTATTAATTCTTTCTCCTATCTATCTATCTATCTATCTATCTATCTATCTA